GAGAAATTTTATTTCCCTCATTTACTACATCTTCTGCATCAGTTACTATCATCACTATTTTATTTGTTTTAACAACATAACGATGTCTTCATCAGTCAAATACTAGAGGCCAGGCTCACATGCATCACTTTGAAACCAATTTTCTAAATTTTCTTCATCAAGAATTTCGAAACCTTAGATTTCTTTTGCTTGTTCGAGAATACTGTTATCATATTTTTCTTGAACATCTGAAAAAGATTGTTCATCAAGCGGTATGATCTTTCTCCACGATCGTGATAACGTAGACGATTTTACCTTTGACCATACTGCTGATGTTCCATATACTGCAATCCAATAACGAATATTGCTTCCAAAAATTTGGTAGTGTTATAACTTTATGAATCAAATTTTTTTTTAATCTTGAAAATGTTTCTCTTTATATTTTTTGTGTAACTCCGGAATGAGCACGGATAATCCGTAAACCGGATAATCCACGAACGGATAATCGAGAGTGTAATGCAAAGTTATTTTATAGTTTGTGCAAGGTATAGACTAGCTCTAATTAAGGTATATAGATTAGCTATAATTAAGGTGTTGTAAAATGAGAAAAAAATCTGATTTCGAGATAAACGCATTTAAAGACTGGATAGACTAGTGATTTTAAGTCTTTAAATGCGTTTATCTCAAAATCAGATTTTTTTTTCTCATTTTACAACACCTTAAACACGATATATCATATTGTTTTTAAAATAATTGTCTGCAATTTTTCACGAGTGTTATTGATTACAGCACGCAAGTTTTGACATACTGACCAAAAGAAAAACGTTTGTCTTTTTAAGCATGTTTGTTTGCAAAGACACGGGCGGAAATTTTCAAAAAGTTGCTTTTTTAACTACATTGATCCCTTACTCAATAGTATATGCACTTACTTCTAAGGTAACAATTCAAAACATAGCTGATAGTCTTCCAAATAATATCCTCAAAGGAGTATTTGTTTTGGGGAATAGAATTTTTTTCACAGTGTTTGGCATGCATCCGACCAAAAGCTTTATTTTTTACCTAAAATGGTCATTTTAAAAAATAATAAATTATTAAAGTTTTTCGCTAGCATAATAAGTTTTTACAAGAAAAAAAAAATATAAACTTGCATTTAAAATTTTATATTATAATTTTAAAAGCAATTGCGGAAACTTGTCGGATACCTTAAATGTCTTGGAAATACTTTAATGTGTAATAGTCTGTGTTAAATAGTGTTTTAAGGTATCAAGGTTTTGAAGTGAACCGTCACCCATTGAAATTAATAATTAAGAACTGATCAAAAGGTTTAGTACATACAACTAATTAATTTGCTTAAAATTGACATAGAGAAATAGATGCATTCAAAAGTTAGATGAATTTATAAACACAATAAAACGGTTGTATACAATATAAAATAACAATTTTGCATAGTAAAGATATTAGGTTATTTCATCTAACAAATTCTGCTTACACAAAATCGAGCTACCGAGAAACTTATCGCTGCATAAAATAGATAGTAGCAATACCTATTTTAAAACCATTAGTGGTCGTATTAAGTTTATTCATGGATGCCATGTTGGTCGGAATTAATTTTTGTCGAAAGAAACAGTAATTCATGATATGCAGGATTATGAAAGAAAAATAAAATTTATTAATTCTTTTTTAAACTTTAGATATATGTAACACAATAATATGTTCTAATTGCATGTAAAAGTTATACTTTATAGTTCTATAAGCAGTCTCCAATATGCAGTCTCCAATATGAATCCCTGGTTTTCGAGAACATGTATTTCAAAAATAATTATTTTGGCTTCTTCCACCTGTAATTTTTCTGTTTGAATCTGCAGAACAATCTTTACTCTATACATCTTCTCAGTGCCGCAAAATAAGTAGTTTGCCATTAAGCTGTGGCTAACATCTTTGATGTGGTGGCTGAGAGCAGACATACGACAGGAACGGTAGAAAAGCGTTGGTGGCTGAGAGTAGACAAACGGCCGAAAAGGGTTAAAAATGCGGTAAAATGTCCAAAATTTGATAAATCCTTATGATTAGCTGGGATATAAATTTTCAAACTTTCTTCCTATTTAAAATAGCTCACAGACTTGAGAATTTTATAATGAAAATGGAATATATTTCAACTATTTTGCGAAGCACCTATAAATGCGTAAAAATAAAGATTTCCATAAAAATTTTAATTAAAGTATCCGATATTTAATCATAGAGAGATTTATATACCCCATTACATATGCCACTAGTGAAATTATTTTTAACTAGGTTTACCATAAACAAGTTACCAAGCTTACGATATTTGCTTAAATAATACTGCCGTATAATAGTTTGGTTTGTATTCGAAATTTCGATTACACGATTGGCGATTTATTAGGCTTTAAGAGCCGATAGATGCGCATCTAAGATGATGCAAGAATTAATTATAATAAAATGCATTTGATAAGTTAACCAAGCGTGAAACTTAAAATAAAACTAGTATGTGAGAGACTAAAGTTTTTTCTTCTTCTTCTAACATAAAGGCTTGTTACATGTGTGATAATGCTCCATAAATAGAATTTTGAAATTGTTTCTAGAAAAAATTCGAAATTTAAATATAAAAGTTCAAATAACAAAGAAGAGAAATAAATCACAAAAAGTTTCCAAAACTAATATTATGCTAGTATAGCTTGATACCTAATAGTACGTTATCAAAGAAAGTTCATCAATTTTAATTTGCTTTTAAATCCTACTCTGAGAAAAAAACCATGGTCTAAACTATCAGATTATGGTAAAATTTACCGTGTTTCTGGCTCTATGGGAACACCAAAAAGCCCGATATTCCTTACCGAAGTGCTTTGGAAATGATTAGCAATAAAATATAATTTTTTTAAGATGTGACAAAATTTGGTAAATGTGGTAAAATTTGATAATTTTATCATGATACCTTAGAGCATGGCACGAAAAACCATTTATTAGGTTAAATTTACTTTTCAGTTTTGTATCTTTTACTAAATATGTGGCTACAAGAACTATAATTTTGAAAACCAGAATTTTCGATAAACCGTTACCATATAAAAGGAAAAATTTTTAAATTAATGGTTTAAATACCGTATATATTGGTTTTATTAACCACAAGTATAGTTTTTTTTAATCAGAAATGTCATTACCATACAATACGGTAAATTTAATTGAACTTATTATTCCGTGTGCAATCGTAACTGTTGTTTATTCTTTATAATGTTATGAAAAACAAATAAAAGAGATTTCAAAATTGGGAAAGGAAAAAAAATTCAAAATCTTTAACTAATCTTATTGTTGAAAAAAAAGGTAGAAGTGCGAATAAAAAAAAAGTTAAAAAATTAATTTGCATAATTTTTTGGAAGAAAGCTAAGAAAAGTAAACAGCATAATTGGGAAACTATCCATTAATTGTTTCAATACACATTTTTAGTAAAATAGTCAGTTTAATAAAATAATATAAAAATTCAAAACGTAAGTATTTTTCAGACGTATCGCATTCCAACACTTTCTATTCGTAGAAGACTTCCATTTTTGTCATCCTTCAACACTTTTATCAAAGCTTGTCCAACATTTTCTAACCTATAAAAAATATAATTATAAATAACTCTGATAGAAACATTTTAATTTAGTTAACTTAATTCAAATTTTACTTCTAAATACTTTTTTAGTGTGGCAATATTTTGTATCATAAAAAATGTAATTTCTTAATTGATTTTATATTCCTTAAAATTGACTTTCCATTAACACAGTAGCAGTTAAATTGAAACAGTTAAAAATAAAAAATAATAATCCATATACCTGCACAGTTAGAAATTTCGAAGAAAAAAAGGTTAAATAACATTTTATTTAACTGTTATTTTACCATATTCAAACAAAACAGTCGTATAATCATAAATAAGATGGTATTTAAATTGTTAACTGCGAGAAAAAAACGTGTATTGATTGTTTTCGCCTGATACATTGAATTGGAATATAAATTTTAACAGGGTATATTAATAAAAATGTCGATTCTTAAACTATACAATTCTTTTCCTTACGCTCATTTAATACTGTAAATTTGAATATTTCAGGAAAAAAAAATTAACAAAGAAAACTGATTACTCGGAGAAAAAATTCTGATAAAATTTCCGCATTGTAGGGCAATGACATTACAGTTTTAAAAAAAAATTCTGGTAATAACTTAAAAGTATATGGTATTTATAAACCATTCCTTCCGTTCGGTAATTTTTCCGTTCACATAATAAAGGTTTACCGAAAGTTCTGACTTTCAAAATTATAGTTCTTATCATCAAATATTTAGCAAAATATACAAAATTGAAAAGTAAATTTAACCAAATAAATGGTTTTTATGCTAAAAAATTAGAGTAAAATTACCTAACTTTGTCACATTACTAAATTTTTTCACATATTATAACACTAGATTTTATGTTTAATTAAGCCGAAATCATTACCAAAGTGCTTCAATGAAAACTACCGCCATTTTTTGACGTTCTCTTAGAGCCAGAAACATGGTAAATTTCATCATGTTTTGCAAGTTTTGACCATACTTTTTTTCTCGGTGAGAATACAATCTTAATTACAAGTAGTTACGCTTTCTCATATTACAACTGAAACCTGGATTGTTATAATTTAAAACTTCCTTAAGAATCCTCTTTAAAACATAGAAAATTCCCTAAAAATAAACATTTCCTTATAGTTAAATAATAATTTCAATCTAAGCTGCTCTGGATATGAGTGCAATCTCGGCATTAAGCGCAAAGCGCTTCTAACCGATTCATCGATTCTGTTGAGACATAAAACTAAAAAGTCATATGTGATTCAAAGTTCTAAGCTTAAAATTCAGATTAAAAGTCCTTAATGAGGTGAGGCATGAGTTGCAGGCAGTAGAACATTCATTGGAAAGGGTATTCCCCTTGATTAAAGTCTTGAGCAGGTTTAGCATTTCTTGATCTTTCATCAATTCTTGAAGTTCTTTGATGAGGCTAACAAGTCGATGAGCACTGGAAGTTGGGGTAGTATCCCTGTTCGATGATTTCCTTTTACTGGGGTGAACATCGCACCCAGTAAAGTTAGCAGTGTGATCTTTCAGGCAGTTACAGCACTTGGCCGGGGTATCTCTGGGTTTTTTGCATTGGTACGAAAAGTGCCCTCTGGCGCACTTCATACATCTAGCATCTTTCGTGCAGCTACGTTGAGAATGTCCAAAGCCCTGGCATCTGAAACACTGAATTGGTCTTCTTCCACCTCGGTACTTCTCTACGGTGATCGGGAACTGCTTTAAACTTTCGAGGTTGTAGATCTTGGTCTGATTGACCAATAGAGGAGTGACAACAAGGTAGAGGGGGAGTGGCCTATAGGCTCCTCCCACTTTCTTCTTGAACTGGACTACTTTGGAAACTTCGATGTTTGATCTTCCTAATTCAAGGGAGATCTCGTCGATATTAAAATCATCTGGGAGACCTCAGATGAGCACTTTTTCATTCTTGGCTAGAAAGGCTTTTTTACCAGCAGTTGGAGTCACTTAAGTTTGGGCGGGCGTCTCCTCTGAAGTCTCAGATGTTTTCTCCGGCTGTGGTGGGGAAACTGAGGCAGAAGTGCTGTTATTAGGCTTGGTTGATTTGGCTTTTTTCCTTTTCCTTTTCCTCTTCTTCCTCTTTTTAGCAGGAGGTTCTTTGGAATTTTCAGAATCTGAGGCCGTGGCCCCGAAACTGGTCTCCATTTTTCCCCCGCAGGGCTGGGGGTGATCTCGGGTATTGGAGTGGTAACCACTGGTAGTGGATTGATATTCTTGGGTACTGGAGTGAAAGTCTCTGGTACTGGAGTGATAGTCTCTGGAACTCGAGTGGTAGTTTCATGAGTTGACTCGGGCTCCTCTTTTTTCTTCTGTACTAAGGCTTCATTTTTCTGTAGTTCTCTCATATTTCTGCAGACTATGGTAATATTATAATGAAGTCTTTAAAAATAGTCGTAAATCTGTCCAAATTCACATGTATTAAGAAATACACTAAGCAATTCCCTTGTAGATTTCAGTTCATTTCGATGAAAAAAAGAGTAGAACTCTACAAAGTCAATAGATAGATCAGATGGTAGGAATTTCAGCGGAACATTACTGGCTGCAATTGCTTCTTCAAATGTATCGTATTCAATAACATCCACGTAATCTCCATCTGATTCTACTGGTTCAGGTGTTTTTGGGCGGCTGGGTGGTAGCACCTTTCTACCTGGAGCTGTTCTGTTGTATGACATAACTACGGAGCTGAGTAAAAAACGCGTCTTGTCTCGAGCAAGGCTTGAGCTGACTCCTCTCCGCAAAAACCTCTCCGACTCCATTTCAATCTAAAGCAGTCTTTCTTACTCATATACTTATGCATGAGGAAAGAATAAGACACTTAAACTTTCCTAGTATTGGAAATTCTTTTCACAGTTAGGTTGGACCAAATTGCATTTCTACTAACTTTATTATCATACTATGAAACCCTTAAAATATGTCTTTCTACGATAAAAATACCTATTATTTATTATTTTTTAACCACGTTATAGTCATTACGCATTTATCTCTTTTACTTGTAGAATAATGGACATAGAGATGATACGCTAGAAACAATTTTTTTTTGTTTTTGCAAAAGCAACATTTTATTATTAAATGATTTCTTTTACAGAAAAATCCAAAATACAGGATAACAGGTCTTTAAATTTAGTTATCAGATATATTAACAGCGGTATAAATGATAAAAATGCAAAATACATTAGTCTTTGAAAATTTGAACACATGTTCTAAATTATACTACTTGTAATTGTACTGTAAATTATACTACTTGCTTCTTTACTACGAGTAAAACAAACTTAATACATAGAAACATTGTATGAAAATTAACTGCTTATCAAACTTAAAATGCCCGATTTCACTCGCAACACCTCAGTTCGATACAACCAGGATATTATAGTATCAAATTATCAGACTATAGATATTTGGTATCGTTATCGATTGGCATAGAAACCTATTTTGAAACATGTTAATGTATGTATTGTACTGATCCCATCAATAAATGTTCTTAATCGACGTAGTGACATTACTTTTCGGTCAAACCTTCTGATCTCCACTATCTGTATATCTCTGTTCATTATAAATTAAAGTTTGTGTGTGTTTTCATCCAACAGAAGAGAGAAGACTTCAGTTCAGATCAATTGAAAAGTCCGACGTAATGAACATAAACTGCTCAGTGAGTGCTCAGTGGCGTAGTGATGTCACTACGTTCGGGCTAGTTAGTAGCTCAGTGGGGGTAAAATGTGAAGGATTTCCTAACGTTTGGACTGCCAAACGATCAAATTTCGTGCTTATGGTAACCTGTGGTGAGGCTTTTCATGTTCTAGGAGGTATTTCTTCTTCGTATTGCTGGCAAGCAATAAAACTTCCTGACGCGAAATTTTATCTGAAGATATTTAATTAAAGTTATGCAACTCTACGTCCAATTTCTTTTTATAATTCTCTAGAGAAATTAAATTTTAAAATTTCTCAACTGGGAAATCATTTTACCATTGCTGCAGATTTAAATGCAGATTATTTTAATTTTTAACTAAATCAGCTCATTCCAAATATTTTAGTTCAATTTTGGTGTATTTTTTGGAGGGGGGGGGAATCTTTTGTAAAGTCTAATCTTATGCACAAAACAGGAATTATGACTTTTATTCCTGATAATAAGCAACAAAAAAATTCCGTAACTGTTTAGTTCGGATTTAATCAAGAAGACAAAGTAAGCTACATTTCCAGCCAAATACCAGCCTTAATGTTGTCGAATAGTCTGCTGTTCAGGATTTTTGGCGAACAAGTACGAAGTATTCAGACGGATAACTGCTGGAGTATAGTGGGAATAGACATAGATACAATTGAAATTGGCAGTAAGTCCATTTGAAAGGAGATTTTTGGCATGTTAGACCACAGCATCTGGTGCAGATCAACAGAAAATACCCCATAAAGTTAACCATCTAAACATCCCCATATCTACCACATCTAAGATTTATAAATAGGGAACCATGAGGAGGTGAGCTCGTAGAGGTGGATTACATGACCATCGAAGTTAGTTAAAAATCTTATAAATGTAACATTCGCCAGTCTATATTATTACGTTGTTGAATTTTTTAATGAAACAAATTCATTTACCAATAAAAATTATGTTTTAATAAAGTATTTACTCTGTATAAGACTGCCTCTTCACAATTGCTATTCCTTCTTTTTCATCTAAACTGTTCGAAGCAAAACTCCGAAGCAGAACTGTGTCAACAGCACCGGGGCAAATGGCGTTCACTTTGACTCCAGTTTTGTTGAAATGATATTCCGACTGAAATTGGAGAATTGAAATTAATTAAGTTCAAGGGCACAAGAGACGAAATTAGCTATATTGCCCCAAAATATTATATTGCTTATTTCCGAGAAAAAAATGAAAGGTGAATATCACGGTTAGTAGACACTAAGTTTAATGCGAAAACAAAAGGCAAAAAATTTTCCCGAGGACATGGAATACATGTTTTCATAAAAACATAAATTAATTGATCGATAAGTTAAGTTAGTTTTTGAGGCAAGGGCCATAGTTTGACCCTGAGTGACAAAAAGTGACTGAGGCACAAAAGTCTAATATAGTTGAAATAGCCTAATATAGTCGATAAATTATATATATATACACTATCTATCCATTAATGACCGGACACCCCTTGAAAGGCAGGTGGACACGTCCTGGCGAAATTAATACGCAACCTGTGGTGGGGGAAAGACCATTCGCAAGCAGGCGACGGCCATACGAGCGTTAACAGTGAAAATGAATGGTCGGCGAGAGCTGAATGAGGCGGAAAAGAGCATGATCATAAGCTCCCACCGATTTGGTCATTCCATACGTGCCATCTCCGACAAGTTTCAGATACATCGGTCAACAGTTGGTGACGTCGTGTTGAAATGGGAACGAGAGGGAGTGATAAAACCGCAGTCCCGACCCGGCAAGCCCAAAATAATGTCCGACAGGGATCGACGATCTCTTCGACGTGTAGTGAAGGCAAACCGACAAATGTCGTTGGACACTGTCGCTACCAGCATCAGGGCTGCATCTGGCAGTGTTGCCAGTACACGTACCATTCGTCGGGAGCTGATTGCACAAGGATTCCATGGACGAGCAGCAGCACATAAGCCAAACATCTCTCCATCAAACGCCCGCCACCGATTTCAGTGTTGCAGAGCACGTCGCCAGTGGACAGTAGAGCAATGGAAACGTGTTATGTGGAGTGATGAGTCACGCTACATGTTGTGGCACTCTGATGGACGGGTGAGGACCTGGCGAATGCCCGGAGAACGGTACCTACCGGAGTGCATTGTCCCCACTGTGAAGTTCGGCGGTGGAGGAATTATGGTGTGGTCCTGTTTCTCATGGTTTGGCCTTGAGCCCTTGGTGTTAGGGCGTGGAACCCTGAACGCAGAAGGGTATAGAGACATCCTGGACAATTCGGCGCTACCCACCCTCTGGCAACAGTTCGATAATGGCCCGTTTGTGTTTCAACACGATAACGCTGCCATTAATAAAGCACATGCCATCACGGACTGGTTTGATGAAATGGGGGTGCAAGAACTTGACTGGCCATCCCAAAGTCCCAACATCAATCCAATTGAGCATCTCTGGGATGAGTTGGAGCGCCGGTTGAGGGCCAGACCACAACGCCCCAAAACCACCACTCAACTCTTCGCCATGTTACAGGAGGAATGGCGGGCAATACCTGCCGCCGTGTACCAACACCTAGTGGATAGCCTTCCTAGAAGGGTTAAAGCTGTGATTCGGGCGCGTGGCGGCCCTACACCCTACTGACTTGATACTAGAACCTCATGTATCCGAAATGAGAGGTGTTCCGGTCATTAATGGCCAGATAGTGTAGTTGATAATATGGCCTAGTATAATTGGCAAACTCCAGATAAAAAGCTATAATAATGGTAAAAAATACAGTACTATAAGCTATATGGACTCAAAAAGATGTATTGATATATCGAGATTTAGTGTAAAAGGAAACCTTATACATACTATTAAACTTTTTTAACACAAAAGTCTAATATAGTTTAAATGTCTTTAACACAAAATAAGAGAACCTGTAATAACAGTAATAAATACAGTACTATAAGCTATACGGATTCGAAAAGTTGTGTTGATGCATCGATATTTAACAAGAAAAAAAAACTTATACTATTTTACCTTATACTTTGAACTTTAACAGTAAATTGACGAATAATAACTCTGATATACTTTAATCTTATGGTAATTTCGAAATTCCATTATATGAAGAGACAGACAAATTTCGAAATCTACATAAAATCTCTCAAATCAACTCATGAGTTTATACAGATATAAAAAATGCTATTAATTGAAAACTAACAGGAATATTGGTGGTTATACGGAACAGAGAAAATAATAGCGAACTGTTTCAAATAAATCAACAATGTTCCCTTTCAAATTATTAAATCTGCCTGAAAAATTAGAAGTAATTATAAATGCATCACAAACTAGACAAAAGCACTTGTTATTAAATGCCCCAATTGGTCAAGGTGGAAAGAACCATTGACAGTAAAACATATTTTGAAGCAGTGCACAAAATATTTACTATGACAACGATGCTTTGAATTCACAGCTCATCAGTTTTTAATTAGAGATACTCCGCAGTAGAATGTAGTACTTATCTTAAAGACATAGGTTTTTATTATGTGATTTAATTCATTTTTTAAACTCTTGGCATTTTTATTTAATTAAGTGTGAAATGCGGTACAGCCGAACTGCAATCTTGAACTAGAAATGAAATTAGCTAACTATATAAACTAGGAAAAGTTTTGATCGTGTTTATAGCGTAAAATGTAAGCAACTTTGTGCAAATTTTGAATAAAATGCGACTTGTCAATTGGTCAAATAATTTTGATTTTTATTTAAATGGCTGAGACTAAACTTATCGTTCTTCGCCAAGAAAAGTGCCGGAAGTGTTGCTCATTTAGCGTTGTCTGGGGAACACCTTGTAACCAAAGTAACGGAGGCAAGCAACATTACCCACGCTACACTACAACAGGTACCCGTACATAGGGTGGTCCATATTCACACATGACACACAACAGAGGATAATACACGGAGAGAAACATCTATGTCCTGATCAGGATTCGAAACCGCACAGTCATTGGTTTCGCAGTCAGTAGCGCTAACCACTCGGCCACCTGGTCGGCAATGATAATTCAAAAAATTGATAATGTTTTCTATTTCATGGCAACAATGCACCTTGATTCGAATAATAACCCACATAATTCTCCTGGTTTAAAATAATTCCCCAAAATAAAACCCATGATGATGAGAGAATCAAAAAGTTTCGATACAATCCTCGACATTGGGAGGACTATAATGAAGCAGCTGAAGAACCTTCCGAAAAACGTTTTTCAGGAATACTTAAAATTTCAGAATCAAAGTTGGCATCTGTGCACCACGCATAGTTTGTCTATGTGAAGAACTCCCGAACCCATTCACATGGCGGTGACTATGATCCCGAGGATAAACTATCAAAATTCGTCAGATTCGTCTGGTTTTCTTAAATGGATACAAAGGATAGCCACATTTTCAATGTAAAATTTTTAGGAAAAGACAAAAATGCACAGGATACATACACCATAACTCTTCGTAAGTCCAACTACGGCATGCTTAGTTGCATTGTATACAGGACTAACTGGGCATCCACGAAGACCTGAAATGAAATGGAATTTGTGTACAGTTTAAAGATATTTAAATTTTGATAAACATCTAGACCAGAACTACGAAATGATGTACAAACCAGCTACAGATGCAGTATTTACTATGAAACCACCAAAACCTCCATTTTCAAGGCTCAAATACTGTAAACCAAGTTGAATACCATGCAATACTCCAATCTGCAAATAAAATCATGGAATTGTGAAGCAAATTTGTAAATAATTGAAACAATATTATTAGTTTGGACTTAATGGTCTAAGAGTTGAGGGAACGGTATACTACGCCTGTTTGAATGTGAAAATAGAGTTATGAGGCGTGATATATAGTTATATATATATATATNTATCAATGGAAGGAAACAGTATTTTATGCCACGTTCATGGATTTCTTCCTTATTTTTTTGTGCCATATATATATATATATATATATACATATCATGAAGATTATAATTTGCAAAACACAATGAAATTATCACTAGAAACGTTATCATCTCTGTATTGCATGAAGGGTTTATTGAATAAAAAATGGCATATGCTAAAGAAAAGGGTTTCGAGACAGATCCCAGGCAGAATACACACAATAGATTTAGTTTCATATAATACGTAAAATTATTATTGTACGCATAGATATTAAGCTACACGAATTTGGTAAAATGTTATATATCTATTAAAATGCATACATATGTGATATAAAATTGGATGTGATCATAATTGCAATGAAATAGCTACATATTGTATTAAATGTCAATAACGAGTAGAAATGCAAAAATGTTAGGATAATGAATTTTACGTATAACAAACTCTGGACAAAAAAAAAAAAAAGAAAAAAAGAGAGAGAGAAAAACTGAACTACCAGATATACATAGGCATTAATATGCATACATAAGTGAATAAAATCGCAAATTGAATAAAATAGTTTAGTTATATACAGTTTAAGATACCATTAGCGAGTCGAAATACAACTGGATGGATGGGTTTCATCTATTAAAAATTGAAAGATGATGACGGTTATCAACAGGGAAAAGGAATAAAATATGCGATGAATTGTAAAAGGTAGCCACAGAAGTAATATATTACAGGGACTTTAAATTTATTTATTACCTTCGATGAACAACTGATCCAATTTTGGGCTTAGGACTACCAATGTTCAACTCCGCAACCTTGTAATTTTGAAAAAATCCAGGAGGCAAGGGAACTCCTATATCAAGTATTTGGTAAAATTTGCCTTCGTGGAGGACATTTTGATGGAACTAACTCGCATTTGCTTTACATGGAGAGGAAAACAACGAAAACCTTCCACGGGTAGCCAGACGGCAGTGGGACTCTAACCCATAATCCGCTTACCACTGAGGATATTTAACGTCAGCCCTGTGGTTGATGCAAGCCGGTTGCGGAATTCGAATCAACTAACCATTGCCGGGATTTGAAATAGGTTCACCGTATTGAGAGGCGAGTACTCTATCCTCTGAGCCACCACGACTTTTTAAATTATTATGATTAATAAAGACAGTTAAAAAGAAAATTTTACTTACAAAATTGACTTCAATAGTTTTTCTCCAAGTATTTTCCCCAACCACGCCAGCATTATTAACCACTATATCTATTCTTCCAAATCTCTCTATGGTTTTGTCAAAGGCATCTAATATAAACGTATCATCTTATAAATACAAATTAAATTGCACATTTTCATATCTTGATAAAATAAATGGTTAAATTTTTTTAAAATTAGGAGCCATATTTGACTAATACCGAACTTTAAACTTCGTGAGAGGAATTTTAAAGAGTAAAACTATATTTAAATTACTGAATGTTCGAATGCTAAAATCCAGCATCCTTGTGTAGAATATCTCAGATTAATAAATTAAAGCTAGTCATTTATTTATTGTTATAGTATTGTTGTCTGAGTTGTTTATTTATTTTATGTAATAGGTCAGAATTTATTTCACTCTTAAGAGTTCTCTACACCTTGAACATACGAGAGCTGGCTCCTTTGGGTAAAACGCTCGTATTCAATCGTAGTCTGTTTATAATGACTTCTTATTTTCTGGGCAAATTTAATGGTTTGAAAGAGACTGCTGGTAGTTTAATTTGTAACAGTTTAATATCAATAATTTAATTAGAAATTCAATGATAGAGTATTTCAATAAATTAAGTAGAAAGTAGAGATTCTCTATCATAAATTCACCTTTCATTTTATTTGTTAACTTCAATCTCTCAGCATGCAAGATTCGAGTTGAGTTGAATGTAGAATTTAATAACACAAGTGCGGGAATTGGTTGAGCTGCATCAAATGCAAATGATATTAATTATTCTTTAGAGAGTTGATAGCAGGATGCTTTTAATCAAATCTGAACCGAAAAAAATATATATTGTGCAGTTCGGAATCATCTTGGTAGTTTCATCAAATATAAAGAAAGTTCAACAATCAAATTATTCTCAAAAACATTCGTGTCACAAAAAATGAGTAAATCAAATATACATAAAGGTTATCGAATTATGAGAAATAACTATCCAGATTCATAAGGGTACCTGTTGAAGCCAAAACTATAAGAATTTATGCATAGTAATTTTTTTTATCTGTACGGAGATACCTAGGGTTTAAAGCGTAACTAAACTATGTTTTTTATATTTGAGCAACTCAAACACATAAAAAATTTACAGCTTACGTATTTTTTAATAGTTTCAGAACAAATCTTAAAATTAGCCTATGTTGGACTACAGATTTTTTTCCACAAACATTTTTTGATTTTGTGCTTCTTAGTTCTTCTTCTAAAAATGAATAAATAAATAAAAATGGTCAAGCAGTGGTCGGAAAAAACTACATTTTCTTTGTAGGTAACTACGACTGCTTTTTTTTTAAATGTAACGATTACAAACTTCTTTCGAAAAGTTAGTCACAATTTCGTTACTTTTAGAAGGCATACTTAACAGGAGAACTTAATTTTCATCAATATTCAAAATAATTTTGAATAAAAAATTGGCTTCTGTTAAATATGAGGAGACGTTAAGACGTTTTAATTCATGCTTAAATGAAATAGTTTCTTAATCTAAAGCACTTTTTATGACTTTCTTTTAGCCATCAAATTTCTTTCTTTTCTCGACAGTTATTTAGAAAATGCTAGGAAATTATCAAATATTTGTGATTTGATTAGTCTATGGGTTTTTATACCCTCCGAGAAATAAAGTACAGTGAAAAAAATAATGGACCACCCAGAATACCTATTGATCTAATGATGGGATTTTCGCATTCTAGGATTTAATTTTAATGGTTTAAGGGGTGACTTCAAATACGATAATTAATTAATGCACATGATATTTTAAGTAGCAAAATTAGGCACAAGAGCGTACTTTATAGTTCCTGTGAAATCAAATTTTAAAAAAAAGCAGGATAGTTAAAATTTGATTTCTCAGAATCAATTCAACTGATTTCGCAGTGATTTTTCCGAGCATCAAACGTAGGTCTCATTAATGCTCGTCCACATAGGCATTCTTATTGCGTACGTTGACGGGTCCGCAAAGGATTTGCACCAATCAGATTCTAAATTTTTTTCTTTACATTTGAGTTTTGTTTATTTAACTAAAGTTAAAATTAATAGTCAAGAATCGCTACAATCAACTGCTTTCTTTTTTTTCCGTATCGAACTACTCATTACACTACTTCCTTTTAAAAGTAGAGCACTACACTATAAACTACGGAAAAAAGTAACTACAGTAGTTTCGTTACTTGTAGCACGCTACTTCCGACCACTGGGCTCAAATCCGTTTATCACCATGTCCGATTTGTGCTTCAGAAATATCATGTATTTATTTTTAATACTCAAAACGTGATCAATCAATGGGAAACTTCAAAGCAGTGAGTTCGTCAAAGAAAATGTATCATTTTGAGTAATGATGTCAATATTTTAGTGGAGAGTTCGAGAGAGTAGAGTAAGACAGGTCACTGAAGAAGTTTGGTACGAAAGGTGTTCCGTAAGGTGCATATTTTGAATGCATATTTTTATAATCCTTTTAAAAAATGATACATAAAAATGTACACACGTTGAGGATCGCAAATAAAGTTTCATCCCGAAAAAAAAAAACGAAATTCAAATAAACACTACTGAGATAAGCGTGACTGAAGGCATCAAAACCTGTTTGATTGCTATCGGAAATAGAGGAGAAAGGGAAAGCGAAAATTCGAAACACATATAAGTTTCACAAGGCAATCGAATGGGTTTCGATATTTTTCATTACGCTTCCTTTAGTAGCGTCTGTGTAATTTTTTAATTGAAATAATATCTGAGAATATCATAAATTATTACCTTTGAAGTCATTGTCATCAGTAACATCAGTTTTTTTGAAAAATATGTTTGCCTGTAAATTTTTTGGCAGATTGTTTATTAAGTCAGTAGATGTATCTTCATTTAAATCGCAAATGCAAATCTAAAAGAATTTAAAAAACATACTATATAACACCAAATCAGAATAAACTCACTTTTTTACTTTGAAATATGAAAAATTGAAAATTTTTTATTGTGACCATTCATTTATTAATGTATTGTATATGAAAAATACAAAAAGTACAAACTTCACTTGCAGTTTCAGGACATCTCTTTTTAAGTACTTCAAAATATTAAGTAGCTAGCGATTATACTACGCTTATTTCAAGTTTTCTGGATGTTATAACAATTTACAGATTTGCTACAAATTTGAGAAATTCATTTCCCTTAAGGCACAAAATAAAAAAAGGAGCCCTTGAATAATTTTTGATATTTAATGATTGGATTTTCATGCTAGATTATAATATTTTAAAAAGTAGATTTTCAATTAATATATAACAGACGATATTTTAAATTACAAAATTAGACATAAAATTATGCTTTTTTTTCTTCTCATTTTTTGAATAAACATACTTTAATGGGGGATTCAATTTTCCGACACTCAAAATGTCATGTAGAGCAGCAATTTGAGAAATACGATGGTTTAGTTAGAAGAGCAGAAAAAAGATTGACTAAGTCTGTTACAGTTGATGCTATTTTTGTATATTTCACTAAATCTTTCTAACAGAAAATTGCTCAATACATAAAATAATACTAGACAAATAATAATCTGAAAGAGCATTTTTTTTTAATTTTAAAACATTTTAATGTCTGCTTAATTTTGAAAGCTGTTATTTTTTTCAAAAAAATATTATTTTAAAATTCACTTAAAATTATTCATTAAACGACGACTTAACAGGAATCCACTGTATAACTTTTGAGCAAGAAAATTTAAAAAATAAAACTTGCATTTATTAAATTTTTATTTTCGTAAGAACTATTGACGCATTAGGTGGCTGGGCCACCTCTTCAGAAATTCTGATGCCGTCCCTAAAACAAAAGTGACTTTTACCACAATTGAAGGGACGAGACGTAGGGGACGACCACCTACAAGATGGATAGACGACGTTGAAAAGGACCTCAAGGTATTGGGAGTCAACCGATGGTGGGCTGACGCACCGGACAGTGCCAGATGGAGGAAAATCTGCGAGTCAGCCCTGGCCTGTGAAAGGCTGTTGCGCTTATTTAGAAGAAGAAGAAGAACTATTGAATCGATTAATTTCAAATCTAGGATTTTGTAATTATAATTACACATAAATTGCATGATTTAAAATATATTTAAAACTAGTATACCATAGAATTAAAAATATTTTCGATTATTTTTAATCTAAGTAATAAAAATTTAATTCATAATTATGAAGGCATACCTTATGAATCAATAAAATTTGCTTGTTTGTGTATGAATATGCGATAATTAGATTAAAAGTTATTTATATATTCTTTTATTCTTTTAAGTGATTGTACTCCATTTTTACATTTTGATATATATTTTATTAAGCAAATTAATCTTTTATTAGGCAAATGTTTTAATTTTTATTTTTATCAAACTATATCTTTTATTAAGCAAATGAATAGCCATATATGGCGCATCTACTAGAAAAGAATGTGAATAATTATTCAGGTGCTCAGTTTTTTTATTGTGCTCTCTGTTTAGTTTTATATTATGCGTATTTAAGTTTAGCTTTATTTGATTGATTTTTAGGTTTTAGTCAGATTATAGGTAAATTGAATTGAATATGGGGTTTTAAAATACAAGGATCTAAAGAAAAACATGCTTCGCCATACAAACAATTTTAATTACAGATCAGAATGTGAAGTACTGTAATTTTGTGGTAATAACTACTTAAAATACTTCATGAAATTAATGACACGTTGAATGCATAAATAAAAAATAGTTATATACACAATAAAACAGTAAAACGCTCCTAATTAAATATATAGTAAAACACTTACAATTAAATATACCATTAGAGCTTAGAATCGCAAGAATATTAGGATCTAAGAAATCCTCCAGAACTATGGAAACAGTATATCGTAAATCGTTTGATTAAAGCTACTGATTTCACAGTAAGTTCTTCTATATATTCTTCAGAGACTGAACTTTTTTGAAATATCGAATAATGTTTATGAAAAGCATGCTTTGATTATCACGATAATGTAAAATGAGTAAAGTAATAATAAAATGATGCAAAATGAGTAAGTCATGATAATGTTTTAACAACAAAAATAATGCTTAGTTCATAAGTATTTTATTATCCACAATATTCAATCTAAAAAATAATTTTAATTTATCAGTTCTTTTCAGTATGGAATAAATTCTTCATTCATTTTAAAATCTCATTCAGATAACTAGGAAACTTCCCAGATATGAAAATGAGTCTTCAATGCCTTTACCTTATAGGAAAAAGAAAATCTTCTAAAGTAGGTGTGAAATCAAAGGCATTTTACACTATCTACCAATAAGTATTTGGACACCTATGCAAATAGCTATTGGTCGGCGGAGGTGGATCCGGTGGTATGGTCTAGTGGTGTTTCTCCTGGTATGGATTGGAATCCTTGGTCCCCATTCACGGTAAGCTCAACGCCGATGCCAGCTGCACTATTTTGGATGACAATGTGCTTCTTACGTTGTTTCAGTTTTACGGGGTGGACCCCTGTTGCATCCTGGACGACAATGCCAGCTGTCATGTTGCGAGGGTCACCAGGGCTTGGTATCGTGCCAATGTGGTTCATCGAATGGACTGTCCAGACCAGAGTCTAGACCAGAACCCTATCGAGAACCTCTGGGATGAGTTGGATCGCCGAATTAAAGGGTTCACTACCCGTCCAAAATCGGTGAAGGAGCTTACATGTCTTCTCCAAGCCGAGTTTTAGAAAACACCACTAGATGTCACACTAGGACTTGTGGAAAGTATGCCCTGGAGGTTTCACGCGGTAATTGCCTCTCGTGGAGGCTCTACCAACTATTGATTATGAAAAAGTTTGTTTTTATTTTTAATCACGTGTCCAAGTGTGTTATGTTTTTACTACTGAACCGATTGAGCTTAAGCTGACTGAGCTGAACCGTAACCCCCGTTACGGCTGAACCGATCAAAAGCTGTTTTTTCATGTAAAGGCCGTTTCGTTGTGTACACTAATAAGTGACGCGTATGTTGTAACGAGTGCTTGCGTCGTGCCCAGACATTCATTGAGAACAACTGTGCTCAGTTACAGCTGCGTAGGAAACCTGTACGGTCAGTTCTGTGTTTTTAAAAAGTTCAAATTTAACAAATCACCCGTCGCGTATGAGGTACGGCCAGTGATGCAAAAAACCTGTCTGCTGTACACCTGTACTGTAGATTTGTGAAGTTTGCGAAGCTTCCTAGTGACATGCTGACAAGAAATTTTGCTACTCCAAGACAATGACTCTCTACACAGCTCATTCCCGAGCTTAATTGGACTCTTTTGGCTGGGAAGTTTTGGACTCTTTTGGCTGAACGCTATACCACGAGAGAAACTCTTCCTCGCAAATTGTGTTTCCCCTCTTTTGGCAAATTTGAATTTTAAATCATAGAAAAAAATTTAGTTCAGGTAAACCAAGGACAAATCATGAAGTTTCATAAATATGACAATCATTCATAAAATGAAAAAAATATGACAATCAAGGCTGACGTCATCCTGAATTGTCACAAAAATGCAAAACTCATTCTATCAAGAAAGCTAAGATAAAAGTCAAAAATGCTTTCTCTGTACCCCAAAAGTTTTGCCCCGGTTCAGAAAAAGAGTACAAAAATACAAGAACAAATAGTGAAATATGTAATACAAAGCAGTTTAAATTACAGAAGCAAAAACAGTAGAATAAAGAAACAAGACAAATATAGAAGGAAAGTAAGAAAGAAAACTTACTAGTCAAATGCAAAATAAAATAAAATACGTTTTAAATATAAAAGTTAATACATTCATTATTATAAAACAAGACAATTACAGAAGGAAAGATAGAAAGTTTCATAAACTGATTATTTTTTTCAAAGCATCAAATTCTTAACAAATTATGACAGGATTATTTCCCCAATCTTGAACATTTCTGCTATAATCTTACTTCTTATTTATTGCTTTATTTATCTACGTTTTGATACTTTCAAGAAAAAAAAACATTGTGTTCTCCTCAGAAAATAAGCTGTCATTACAAAGGACTTGTGCTCTATTACCCTACCAGCTTCATTTCAATGGGAACTAGCTGGGCACAGAAATAAAAGCATTCGGTGCGTAATCATGGCTATCATAATGCCGTTGGAAACTTAACCTTCATGACCCTACTGGTTGACAAATGGTTGTCGAGGAGGATGTTTTATTTGTCATATCGAACCATTAAGGATTATTTATACATAGATGCCACTCTAAAAATGTTTCAAGGCTGTATTTTGTTTTGACCAATTAACACAATCTAGAGTGTTTTTTACTAGAATATTCAGAAATTTATAGCTCACTTAATCTAAATGTACCTTTCTATGATAATGGCTGATATATTAAATTAATTATCGAATTTTTTCGTTTTACAGCAAAAAAGACACAAATAACCGTTAACCTCGTATATCTTTTTACATCATTCACTGAACAATAAGCCACTATTTTTTTCTTGAAGTACTATCAGAACTTATTTTTCACTTCACCATTACTTATTTTTGACCTACATCAATAAACTTTCTTCTTTTCTTAAAAAAATAATAATAATCGCAATTTAATTTTGGCCAGTATTTCAAAACATTGGGGAAAAAACAAGAAAGTTTAGATACAATTGTACAAATTTTGTTTAAGCAAACAGGCGAAGTTCAATCAATCTCATTTACACATTGCTGTGCTTCATCATTACTTGATCACTTTGCAATAATTAAGTAAATTAATTAATGTTTACATCAAAATGTAATATATATTTCTATTTAGGAAAATGTATGTGTAATATTTTTAAGGAAAAAAGCTAATATTAAAAGCAAATGGAAAAGATATATTAATTTATGAAACTTAATGTACAGATTTTCTCTCAAGACTGATTTCTGTCCTTAGGACTGAAGAGTGGCGTCCATGTTTATTACAGTATTTTGATCAATTCATGTGTCGAAAGTAATTTACGAATCTGCCAACCTGCAACGGTAATTAACGCGGTACTTATAGAATGATCCATAGAACAAACGTGGGTATAATCTTAACTAATTAGTTGCATAAAAATTTGGCTTAAAATTCTAAGCTAAAGTATTAATTAAGACTATTAGTAGAATCTGAAACTGTGGATTGGACTGACTGTAGATTTGATTTTTCACGTGACAATTACTTCGATCATTTTGGCAAAGCAACCAACGATGATTACAGAGCACTTTATTAGAGTGAATGTAGTTTAGTGGGACAAGGGCACGAATATACTACATTGCATCAAACATAAACAACATTACGTAATTTAAGTGGTCAAATTGAAAAATGTTATAACCTATGGTTAAAATGAAGAAGAAGAAACACTCTCATAAATACCACTGCATCGTGGATTCTCCTTAAGAAGCCATTCATCTTTGTTTCTAACTGGAAATCAAGCATTCATATATCTTAAATCGAATTTATAAACTAGATCATTTTATACAATTCATTTGCGAAATAAAATTGTACAACAAATTGCACATCAAATCAAACTATTATTTAGCATCAGCTAACAGCTAAACTCTTTGTAACCGGCTTACGCATCTCAAAAGTTATGTGATTTTCAAACTCTCCCCAATTTCCCACTCTCCATTACCATGGCTTCGGAAACGTTGCTTTTTAGCAATATGCTTGAGTACAGTCGTGGTGGCTGAGAGGATAGAGCGTTCACCTTCGAAGGAGGTGAATCGGGTTTGAATCCCAGCAATGGCAGGTCGATATGAATTCCGCACCTGCCTCGCACTGACTACAGTGCTGACGTAAAATTTTCTCAGTGGTAGACGGATCATGAGCTGGGGTCCCGTCGCTCTCAGGCTAACAGTGGGATACTTTCGTGGTTTTCCTCTCCATGTAACGCAAATGCGGGTTAGTTCCATCGAAAAGTCCTCCACGAACGAAATTTTCTCTCAATACTTCATCCAGGAGTTCCTTATAGTCTTCTGGAGTGTCTTCCAGGAGTCTTCTGCATTGGGCTCGAAATTACAAAATTACAAAGTAGAACATTAGTAGTCGTAATCCCGAAAATTGGGTCGGCTGTTCAACGACGGTGATAAAATAGCATATACAGTGGTGGGGCAAAATTATGGAAACACTTCAATACCGACTCATTTTTTCATGTTTCTCAAGAAATACACAGATAATTATTATTTTTTTAAAAGAAATATTTAGGTCATGCCATTTCTCATCATTATCAATTAAAGTTTAAAGCCTCTAGAGGTTTGAAGGACCGGCAATTACGAACGAAGAATAGTGTTTTGGATCATCCTATACAAAGAAATACAGTAATAAGTTTGTAACTTGTAGCAATTGCGAATCATACGTCCAGCACGAAATCAAATTTCTCCCAATGCTTGATCCAAGAGTTCCCCTGTCTTCTGGATCGGGTTAAAAACTACAAGGCTACGGAATGGAACATTAGTAGCCGTCAACCCAGAAATTGTGTCGGCTGTTCAACAACGGTTCTAAAATAAAATAAAACATGCTTGAGTAAGAGGTTGGAATATACTGGCTAGGGGGGGGGGAGTAAGGTATACCGAAAACATGGTAACGGAGAAGGAAAAAGTGGGGAGAGTGGGAAATTTTCGTAAGCTTTTGAAAAGCTTATTCCGTTTACAAAGAGTATGAACAGATTTATGGGAAGGTAGTTATATAAAATGAACTGATGATTTAAAAAAACATTGGATTACATACTTTTGTTCCTTCATTCAACAATGCCAAGCAGTACGCTTTTCCAATTTCTCCTCCGCCACCAGTCACAAGGGCAACTTTTCCTTCGAGTGTCATGACTTACAAATGCTCATAAAATAGCCGTTTCTTCGAGCGATTCCAAGAAATAAAAGCGCTAATTCTAATCAGAGAAAAGAGTCCTTCAGTTTTTCGCATAAACCTTCGGCAAACCATTGTACTACATTCAATCTACAATTTGACTTAATGAGTTATTTTTTCCTGACATCTTGTTAAATGGAATGATCGACTAGTTGTTTCAGGAAATAATGATGGAACATTTTCGGGGCACTAACTTTTAATATGAAAAGAACTATTTTGATTATTCGTACTTATTTTTAATTTTAATAATTCGTGATTCAAAAATGAATAAATAATGATTAAATCTTATGTTTCTACAAAATCATTTTCTCAGAATCGTTTCATGAAAAATGGTATCAAGTATAAGCTAATATTTAAATATGAAATAAACCTCTGTTAATTTAGATTTTAGGGTATAAAATACGATGTCATTCATTCTTAATATCCCCAAGGAAAAATAACGAAAAAGAATTGATTGTTTAGAAATTAAATGGTTCTTCTTCAAAAGAAATTTGTGAAGAAGGTTTTAATATCTTTGGCAAAATACGCAGAAACAAACACTTATTAAAGTAATTACTTATTTATTTCTAATTATTATTTATTACAAATTGTTATTTATTACTAATTATTATTTATTACTAATTATTATTTATTACTAATTAGTATTCATTACTATCCATTATTTATTACTAAGTATTATTTATTACTTATTATTTATAACTTTACTTTTATTTGCAGATACAGATATTCAAACACTTATTTTGACTGCAGTGAGGCAAATATTTTAATGCCTTAGCTTATCCAATTATCGTTTTTTTTCACGAGAGCGATTCGAACTTATTTATGTATGCACAGCTTTCTGTTTAAATTTATGAAAATCATTTCCTTTTAATTTGGGAAAAAGTTTGTGATTCACAAATATATTTGCTATATGAAAATCAGATAAGTATTTAAAAGATTAAGCTTTAAAATCAAGAATTGGCAGGATTTTCAATACCATCATTGTTTTTTGGATATATACAGCTATATACAAATAAAAAAAAATAATATTTCATGAAAACTTTCATCCTTTTGTTTATTTGCTGCATTTTTAAAACATCTGAATTATAAGATTTTTGAAATGTTATTTTGTGGGGCCTACATTAAAACTGATGTCAACCTTCATCTATCAAAATGTACCTGAATATAAAATCGACTTGACTTGTATTTAAGTTTCAGTGGTGTGTGATCGAGACTGAGTAGCAAGAGTGCGAGGACAATGTCGAAATCACCAATAGCAAATCAACTTTTTATTGAGTTTCATACATCGAAGTAGGCGTGTTAAAATTTGATGTGGGCGTTACTGTCAAGGTAGATGTGTACAAATAACATCCGACGAACTCCAATGTGGGGACTGGAATGCTTACTACGTCAACCTTCAAAAGGTACTTGAAGATAACGTCAAGTTAACACGTGTTATATAAAAGGGAATTAGAATTTTATTATTGTAGTGGTAGTCACGCAACAATTCCAAAAGGTTGATACTACTTACAGAATAAATATAAACACTATAAGTCATTTAAAAATTGTAAATCTCAAATTAAAATGCTTTGCCGACTCTTAAATCAATAATTTTTCACAAAAAATCCTTTTATTTAAATTAATGATTTATTTAAAGTAACACCAGTTGATTTGAATCATAATGTTAGTCGTTATTTAAATCTAACCATTTCAAATGCATGCGTGCTGACTTCAACGGCCATTAAAAACAATTTCTAAGTAATAGCAACGGATTGAATTTTCAAATTATGATTTTTTTAAGTTTCAAAAAAAGGTTATTTTACACTCCAACGGAAACTAATAATTCTAACATCGGTATATAAGACTTATTGCTCAGGAAGATACACTTTAAAATATTAAAAAGTTATTAAATTTTCGGAAAAGTTTCCTACTTTAGTTTTGTACCACCACTTCCAAACAATATGTAAATCAACAAATGTACTGAATGATTACAGAAAAGCAATGTTAAGGAAATGTATTTTGTTGATTACAGAAATGTAAATCAACAAAACTTGAAATTGAAAAAAAGTTTGTTCTATAATGGAGAATAGAGTTACTATTACACTTGTAACCATTTTATTGCTAGTTATTTTTTTTTTAAAATTTTTTTTTTCACTTTCACTTATCGTCTTATGTACAATGAGCAAAATAAAAAAGTGAGCACCTTGAATAAATTTTGACCTATTGATCAGATTTTCATGATCAAGGACTCAAACTTAATGGTTAGCCAAATCTTAAGTATGTTAATTAATTAATGCAGGCGATATTTTATCAATCATAAAAAAGTACTTTCTCCAAATAAATCTTTTCGACAATCCCTGAAAAAGATCTGCAACCTCATGTTGCAGTCAAAATGCACTAAAGACGATGCTTTTATTGATTTTTCTTTGGAGTTGAAAGTTAATTAAAAAAACGCTATTTGGAAAAAAATAAATAGTTCTATAATTTATAATAGGTAAATTTGTTTTTGCACATAATTATATCAGTAAGGATCATTTCTATTGACGATAAATTTTATTCATCGATCCGGTTTTCATGACAAGTGACACTTCCGCACCAAGGAAAAGACACTTTCTAAAATTAAAATCGTTTGCAAAAAATCATGTACCTTCTAACCCATTTTAGAATTAACGGTGACCTCTAACAACGACCAACCTCCATTAACTACCATTTTGTTATGGAACTATTTTACTTTGTAAACAAATATTTTTTTAACTTGTTTTTATCTTAAATGAAATGTATGCAGCTTTGTGTAAATTTTATAACTTTTTGCATTAAGAATTATACGAAACAAAAGTAGGAAACACAACCATGAAACAGCTTAGTATTTTTGTTGAACTTCTACAATATGCTGGATAATAAAAAGGTAATAAAAAAATAAATGAGATTTTTTAAGTTTTCAAAACTTATACTGTGAGTCATATTTTCAAAAGAACCAAAGGTGATGTACAATTCAATGCAAATATTTTTGCATAATGGTTAGTTTAATGTTAAAAAGCCTATGTAAAACTGTGTCGTTAAAAGCATAAAACGTTACATTAAATATACATTTCGAAAGCTTTGAATACTTTTAAACTTATTATTACATATGCATTTAAAATTCATATCCCGAATGTAAAGCAAAAATGTTTACAAAATGGTTATTTTAATGTTAAAAAGCTTATATGAAACTTAGTTTTTTAGCATAACTTAGATTTAACAAAGAATATTTTTGGAAATTATTTTATTGACCGTGTAAAAAATTCTGACTGTTCAATGATACTCCATTCATTTTAAAAACCATTCTTATTGCTAGAGTTGAATTCTTCAGTAAAATTCTTAAAGACTATCTTAAAATCAATCTCTCATTTGTTTTGCAATGTCTCAGATAATTAGTTAAACCTTCTATGGCTTATAGCTAGAAAACAGATGTAACTGGTGCAGAAACTAGCAGATGACAAGCAATTCCAAGGCTTTAACTCTAACTTTTTTCTACATGCTTTTTTTTGGCGTTTCCAAAGCAATTTAAAAAATACGCCTTTTAATGACATCAAAACATTTTAAATGCACTGCATTGATTAATTATATTGAAATTTACATTTATCTTAATCTTTATTTTGATGCAGGCTAAGAAATATTTTCAATATTTCCAGCAAAGCTGTCCTTCAAACACATGGCTTACAATGGTATGGGGCAATTGTTACGAAAGAAATGCCCCAATTTAAACTGTAAACAAATTCCTTCCTGTATTCCTTCGTGTAAATAAACAGTAAGTCATTTTTAAATATTTTATTTTCTAACTTTATACATTTTAGTTTTGATTATTTCAGTTGACAACGGTTTGACGAGCCCCCTAAATTAACGAATGGGTTGCCTTGATTCACATGCTCTTGTAATAAATGAGTTTTCTGAAATTATTTGCATTTTAATGGAATTCTGAAATTCAGAAAAAAAGATTCCACGTTAAATCTTTATTTTTTTGTGAACACATGAAAGTATATTATACATAATGTGGTCCTTTTTCATCTACTACCAGTAAAGATCCATTTTTACCATCTTCTAATATTTGAATCAAGCCCCTTCCCAGATCTTCAGAACTGAAAATAAACAAAAAAATAAATAAAATATATGTATCTCCTAGGTGTTTTTATTAATTTTACTATGGTATAATTTCAAATAAATAAATGAAAACTTAAGTTATATTTTTTCTTTAAACTTGAAGCTTAACCATAATCATAAATCATTCACCAAGTTCACCTTCATACTCTTAAAAATATAGAGGTATAAAATTAATACACTAAATTTAATACACTGCTCAACATTTGCTAAGGAATAGTTACATTTTTTTGGTATAATTAAATAGATGTTGTTTGAGGAAATGAAACTAAGTAAATATTTAGTGGAGACAATGCTCATTTATAATTATACAAAATAGTTCAGATATCGAAAAATAAAAATAAAATTAAAAAAAGATGCTCATTAGACGATTTCCTAACAGGCATGAAAAATTGGTCCTTTGCCAGAATGAAACAGAAATGAGTACCTCAAGAGTCCTTATGGGAAATTATTCCACTCCTTTCTCAAGGTGGTTTTCATATCTTGGAACGTTGGAAACAGTTTGGAAACGTTGTGTTCTTTGTGAAACACTTTCGCCTAGGGCAACCTAAGCATACTCTATAGGATTTAGGTTCAACGAGTCCACAGACCATAGCGTATGGTCAATAGCTTTACTTTCTAGTGTGCCCAATACCTCAACGCACCTCTGTGGCTTTGCATTGTCGTCCAGAAACAGAAAGTATGATCCCTAAAAAGGCAAAGATGATCCAGAATAATCTCTCTGCAATATATACCGCTGAGGTGTAACGTTACCTCGCTCAACGATGTGAAGCGGTGTTCAGCCATGGAGCTTGAGGCCTTCCCAAATTCCCCTCTCAATTCACACTATAACTGGTAGCCAGAATCACTTTTCATTGTGAATCGCGATTCATCGGAGAACATCAATCTGGATCTTTACTAGTGACCTCAACCAATACGTTCCTTACACCAACGTAATCTTTATCGACAATGACGTGTTTAGAGCGGGATGCATCGAACAACTTTCCATGCATGCAAACAAACTTGATTTTATCGCCGTGAGATGGGTTCTGGGAGAAACATGTGTACCAGCAGTAGTTGCAAGGTCTGCAGCTATCTGACTAGGAGTGATATTTCTGTTCCTTTTGACTACTGGGAATACTCTTGAGGTCTGATGTTTCTACAACTACCACAGGCATGCATAGAATCTCCACCTTCAGCTGTTTTTTTTAATTGAGAGATGACACTTTTTGACACTCTCAATACTGCGGCCTCAGGGGTAGCATTTTGATCTGCTTTAAGTCGCCTCATTGCTTTCTCAGGATCATAAGAAATCAAATGATATCTTGCTAATATTTTTCACTTAAATATTTCAACGTCACACTGAATTTCACAGAAATAAATTCAACAAGCTATGATGCTATTTAGATTAAATACCTAACAATATGAATTTTCGAATAAATGATGAGATTGTGTGCACTGCCTTTTATGCAGATGTTGTGTACCGCTCTACCATGTTCTCTGCATTTGATTTTAATGTTATTGGTTGGTTGTCAAGAACGCTACTTGCATAAAGCAGTTGTACGTTATCAATTGTCAAGCAGTTTAAACAGGGCTTTCTTTGAAGCATCATTATCACTTTCTGTGCATTGCGAACATCCTCCTCTTAATAATGCCCTTCATTAGACCCTTTCCTTCCAACTAATGACATTTTTATTAAAGATCAAAACATACATATTTGTTTAATTTTCTTCTCTTTAATACTTTTTCCTTATTTGTATTATTCAGCTGTTCTTCATGTTGTATATATTTAAATTGATGCAAGCATTCACGCGTTTCCATTATTTATATTTATTAAATTTACTATATAACTTTTAAATAAATCAAATAAAATATCATGGAGTTTGTATAAATTATTTTTCTTTAATATTTTCGATATTTACTCTAATAAAAGTAAATTTCTCCAGCCCTCTATTAGTGATTTAAGTCTATTAAGTCTTCTGAAACTGATTTATTTAATTTCTAAAATTAAAATTTTTCGCAGCTATTTAACTTAATCTTTTTGCAACTACATATTAATTTCAACATCAATATTAAACTGTATTAAAATTAAAATTCTAACAAAGTCAGTTTTCAGAACATGCTAGACAAAATTGCAAGCGAAGTTTTTGAATATCCAATCAGTATTTTCATAATAATACACCAAAGAGCCATTACATTATGACCACCCTGCTAATAACATGTAGGACTGTCGTGAAGTGGTAGAATCCGCACATCACATCCTATACGAGTGAGGTGCCCTCGCCCTTAGCGCCTCACTACCTTATGCAATCCATATCCTAAAGAGCTTCACCTTAACTCCATTAAGGGACTGTCAGACTATATAAACAAAGTAGGCGACCCAAGACAATGGAACTAGGAAAAATTGGGCTTGGAGCATGGTACAAAATGCTACATATGCAGTGGTGCCACATATCTGACAAGCTCAAGTAAGAAGAAGAACATGTAAGACCAACTTTAGCCATCAAAACTGCTAGCACCAGCCGTGGCATTGATTCCACAAGGTGCTGATAGGTTGTCTGAGGTATCTGATACCAAGCGCTCACCAACTGGTCCTGCAGTTCCCTCACATTGCGAGGTGTAGCGTGGCAGCACGAATTTGATTTTCCAAGTAGGAGCACAAATGCTCTATTGGATTAAGGTCAGGTGAATTTGGGGGCCAAGACATGACTTGAAAGTCATTGAAATGTTCCTCGAACCAATCCATGACGATTCGACCCTTATGACATGGTGCATTATCCTGTTGGTAAGCACCATCACCCACAGAAAAAACTTTTGCCATGAATGGATAAACCTGGTCTGCAACCATGTTCAAGTAGCTTACAGTCATCAGGGATTGTTCTATAAAGATTATGGGTCCTAATGTGCCCCATGAAAACCTTGTTCCTGGGCGAGAAACCATGAAAACCTGGGGGAGCCCATTATTATAGATGGAGGGTGGTCATAATGTAATGGCTCTTCTGTGTATATAGTTTCAAGTGCATCATTAGTGTAGTAATTTTATTATAAGACGAAAATATTTGATCCCTTAAGATCCCTCATTGCATTAATATAAAAAATTAAATACAGTTGTTAAAACATTGTTAGATGTAACTATTTTTTATGAATAATTTAATTTTTTCTTACATTGTTAGATAAAATGTTTATAACTGTTTACAAATTAAAAAAAAGTACTTACGGAACTAATGGGAATGTTTCGACAAATTTTTTCCCTTCTTCTTCATCTAGACTACTAGGAGCAAAAGCTTTATAAAGATGTGTATTTACCGCACCTGGACAAATGGCATTCACTTTTATCCCACTTTTCTTTAGGTGGTATTCTGCCTGTAAGAATGGAATCATTCCTAACTTAGTTTCTTTAAATTAGAATAAAATTAAAGTTAAAATTTCATTTCTCAAGAATTTTTGAACTGATTCTGATCTAAATTTGATATTTAAAATTATATAAAAATTTCTGTACCTTATAAATCAAAAATTTAAAGTAAATTTCAGAAATCTAAAAACAAACGAATTTCCGATTTGTCAAAAACAAGAAAATTCGAGAAAAAAATCCTTTGAAGTTCTTATAGTTACGAAGAACTATTTTTCTTAATCAAGTTACATCTTCCACCTTTTTTGAAAGCTGTTGAATTATATTCCACCTATGGTACTCTGAGAGTTTGTTTTTATTTAAACCGTCGTTGAACAGTCGATTCAATTTTGGATTTACAGCTACTAACGTTCATCTCCTTAGCCTTGCAATTTTGAACCCAATCCAGAAGACAAGGGAACTCCTGGGAGATACTTGCCTACGCGGAGGACTTTTCCTGATGGAACTAACTAGCATTTGCGTTACTTGGAGAGGAAAGTCACCCACTGTTAGTCCAACTGCAAGGGGACTCTAACCCATGATCCGTCTACCACTGAGGATATTTTACGTCAGCACTGTAGTCGGTGAGAGCCGGGTGCGGGATTCGTATCGACCAGCCATTGCTGGGATTTTAATCTGGTTTACCTCATAGGACGACGAACTCTCTATCCCCTGAGCCATCACGGCGTACTCTGAGAGTTCATTAAGAAAACAAAAATGTCAGGAAAACACAAATCAAATATTTTATATAAAATCCAAGATGGTGAGAAAAGAAACATCTTAAGCCGATTACCAATATAAAATATCTCAGTCTCAAGTTATTTGGAGGAAAAGAACTTGTTTTCTTGTTTTTGCATGTTTGGAAAAATGCTGGGGAAGTAAAGAGGTTACTTTTAATTTGAGAACAAATATCTATGTTACTGTGAATGGCCGAAATTGGTGGTTGTTGACAATCACATAATCGCTTTGGTAAATATTCGAAATATATACTAGGTCTAATTAAGTGCGGTATACATTTGCCAGGTATACCCTTCACTTATGTATTTATTTTTAGGTTCAATGCCACTGCCCCGGTATACATTTGCCCAGTACTCCGAACTATTTTTCTCCTAATCTATCTTCAGCTGATATTAAAATATCGAATAAATATAATAATATCAATGAATAAATTAGATAATATCAAATCGGATATAACAAATATTTTGGGCGTTCATCAAAGCGACTATGTGATTGTTGACATTCACCGGTAAAAGTCAACATTTTCTTGATTTCCAATATTCACGGCATGTTGCACAAACTTATGTATTTATTAAGAAGGAAATTCTTACTCCGTAGCTTTTAGTCAAACCAACAACGGCATGTTTAGTAGCACAATACACAGGAGAAATTGGCATTTCCATTAAACCTGAAAAAATACCAATATATTTTGCTGGAGTTTTTAATTTCTTATTAGAAAAATCTCAAAACATTAGATTTTAAAAAAATTTCAAATATAATTTTCACTTTATTCCTGCTTTAAAAAACGATGCATTTTTTAGAAATGCAATGAGTTCATAAAATAAGTAAAAACACGTTAAAATAAACAAACAATAAAGCTTTCTGCCATATAGATATTAATTCTTGTAAAATTCTTTTCCTCTGCCCTACAGCCCAGAGTAGGCCAGAACCAGCCCACCAAGTTTTTGTTAATACAATTGCTTTCTTTTATTTATTTTGCATTAAAAAAAACAATAACTTCAAATGAGTATACCGTAGTTCCAGTAAATATATGAAGAACAGTTCAAACTTTGTTCCATTAGGTGTAGACCCGGGAAAACTTGGTTAATTGGGGGTAATATATTGATATTGGGATGGTTTCCAAGAGTTGGTTGTCTGGATGAACTGCAGCTTTTAATGGCCCAAAAACCAGGTGCTGCTATAACGAAGACTATACGTGGGGGAAGAAGGTTAGCTTCCGTCGGCATAATGTAAACTTACCCTCTAAGGTTCGTTGTGGTCCCTCTGTATGAAGGAAGAAACAACATTCAGGGGCGCGCAGCAGAAGTTCTTAAAACTGGTTTCCACCTTCCTTTCCTCCCAACCACTACAGGGTTTGGAGAGAAGAAAAGTTTTCTCTTTTTATTTATTACAGTGAAGCCTGCCAAGTTGACCACCCTTGTAAGTAGGGCACCTGCATAAGTTGACCTCAATTATCAAGAACGGAATTTTTCCTATATAATATAAAGAAGCAAAACCTTTGTAGCTTGACCACCTGTCTATCTTGTATGTTAACCACTGAAATAAGTCAATTTTGTCTAGGAGTATTATGAAATTCTATTCTAAAACTCTCATAAGTTGACCAGAAAAAAAAATTCAGAAAATTTTCTGTAATTTTTGCAATGTATGTTAAAATTTCACTTGTTTGGTGAAATAGTGTAAAAAGCTAATCTAAACCCTTTTGTGAGTTGACCATCAGGGGAAACTGTAAGGGGTCAGCTTTTGACCATTTCTTTCATCCGTTCATTGAAAACAGGTGTGTTAGTTGAAAAGTTGCTCTTCCAGTTGCAATAGTGAGCATTTGAATAAGTGAATGCTCTGAAATATGCTTTGATCCTTTATTTATGGTCTTTGATCTTTAAGTGTAGTAAATAAATTTTAAAGTGTTCAAATAATTTTATTTTGTTAAAGTTTTCAAATTACATGTTTTCGTGTTCTGATATTTTAAGAAATTATACTTATTAAACACTTCACATGCATAACTTGCATAATTTTTTTAAAAAAAAATTTGTTAAATATTAGAATTATATGTATCAAATTGAAGTTCATTTAGGTTTAAACACATTTCTTAAGATATTCACTTGCATATTTTCTGAATAAAATTTTTAAGTCAAGTAAAAAAAAAATTTAAATATATAGCAGCATGATATAGGAAACGAAAAAGTAAACAATAACCCACCCCTTCTGTAAGTTGACCACTTGTCTAAGTTGACCACTAAAACAATGCACCACAAGTGGTCAACTTACACAAGTTTTACTGTATTGATTTGTTCTGCATTTTATACTATTGATAAACGGTACTGTAATGTTAATAAATATATTCTATTGAGAATACATCAATATCATTCATGTTGATTAAATCTGCTAATACATTTTGATAAAGAAAGAAGGAAGGAATAAATTTGAGGTGTGATGCGAGTGGTAGCGTACCCAACCATACATGTAAAGTTACCAAACAACCTGTTCAGAGGTGATTTAACTCCTGCTTCTTAAGAGCATGTGCTGGATCTTAGTGCATATGATGCTCTGTTAAATCTGAGCATGTTTCTCACTCTGTAAGTTATTTTTCTGGAATAACATACCGAACCGAGCAGTTCCCGGTGTTAGTTACGCATTCCAAGAGCTGAACTTCTCCGTTCTATATTCGTTGGCTATAAATGTTCTGAACTTAAACTCTACAGTATTCTCAAGGGTACGAAAAAAAGGAAGAAGATTTAAAGTGTATCTCAGAGACCTGTTGGAATGGAAAAGAGACTTTATGAAAATAAGTTAGGTTGAGATACCAAGGTTGAGAAAAGTTCACAGAGGAAAATAATGATTCAAGCTATTGAATTTCTTGATATTAATACAGTAACGGTTGCTTGATTGTTATTGAATGCATTAAGTTGCTTGAATACTCTTTCTAAAACATATTTGTGATTTGCATAGCTTAAACAAGAAGTCATTTTTTGGATTTTCTTATAATTATTTGGATGATAATTATTATACGCTTTAAAAATAGTAAATACATGCCTATTAAGATACAATCAAAAGAGAGTACACAAGCTAAAATAACTTTACTTTTTTTACTAAGGAAGATGATGTTAATTATCGATACCTGCAACGGACGCTGTGTTAACTACAGAGCCACCTTTTCCACCATTGTCCACTCCCATATATTGGAAAGCAAGTTTGACACCTTGAATAACTGCCATCTAAAATAACAAAGGCTAATTGTTGAACTATAGTCTAGTGTTATATTTACGTAGTATTATTTTCAAGTAACTTTCCATGACACTTAAACTGCATACTAAATTTTCTATTGGTACTATCACGAAAACAGAAAAGGCATGTGAAGTAAGACAAAAAATTTATATATTTTGAATATTTGTAGATTTTTAGAAAAATTGGATATTTCTAACTGAATCATTGATTTAAAGAATTGATATATATATACATATATATATATATATACATATATATCCATATATATATATATATATA